CAAATACAGTTGGGCACCGAAATAGAAAAGAGTGAGAAGTCTGCTGAGCCATTTCTTTGTCCTCCACCAGTCAAAAAAAAAAAAAAAACTTGTTCAAGTTCATTTTACAGTCAGTGGTTCTGCAGATGAAACAAAGTGAAGTGATACTGTATGTAATGTGTGCAAAAGTGAAATCAGCAGAAGCAGAGATATCAAACGTCTGTTAACATCTTCTATGCATATTCATTCATTCATTTATTTTCTTTTTGGCTTAGTCCCTTTATTAATCTGGGGTTGCCACAGTGGAATGAACCACCAATTTATCCAAAATTTGTTTTACGCAGTGGATGCCCTTCCAGCTGCTACCCAGCACTTGGAAACTTCCATACACTCTCTTTCACACACATACAATAGGGACAATTTAGCTTACCCAATTCACCTATATTGCATGTGTTTGGACTGTGGGGGAAACCGGAGCACCCGGAGAAAACCCACGCCAACATGGGGAGAACATGCAAACTCCGCATAGAAATGTCAACTAACTCAGCCGAGGCTCCCACAAGCACCAAACCATCAACACAGCCACATTCTACCCCGGCAAGTCAGTTTACTTTTACTTTTGTTGTGCCAGACCTCCCAGTCAGGGGTTTATTTAGTTTTATTTAGTTAATTTTAGTTTTTGGTATTCTGTGCATTAGAAAGAAGTTCTTTCAAAAAAGAACAGTTCTTTGAAGTATTATTTGTTGTTATTCTGTCAATTCAGCGTCCTTTAACAATAACAGTGGTGGTGTGGTTCATAATATTCACAGTGGTATTTTAGTTATTGGTTTAATCATGGATGAGGTAATGGCTTATATGTTTTCAATGACATTTCTTGTTACATGTTCAAAAACATTAACCAATATTGCATATACATAATTATTATAATGGGTATAATTAAACAATACTTATACTGTAATGTTAATTAGAAGTGTAATAGAAAAAATATATATATTTTTACGCCATTTTGAATTTTACTCGAATACAAATACATTTCCCCCCTCAACAAATACAGATACAAATACCGGCTGCTCCGCACATCCCTAATATATATATATATATATATATATATATATATATATATATATATATATATATATATATATATATATATATATATATATATTCTGTAAAGGCACAGCTAAACAGATGTGTTTTCAGTCTTGATTTGAGCGTGCCTAATGTTGGAGCACATCTGGAGCTGATTCCAGCAGCTAGGAGCATAGTTGCTGAAAGCTGATTCACCCTGCTTTGACTGAACTCTTGGAACTTCTAGTTTATATGATCCTAAAGATCTGAGTGATCTGTTTGTATTCAGTTTGTATTCAGTCAGATGTAATGTATTGAGGTCCTTGGCCATTTAGTGATTTATAGACCAGTAATAATACTTTAAACTCTATTCTGAATGTAATGTCGTAAATTCGACGTCTTATCAATTAGAAATTATCAGACCAGAGGTTTTGAATATCAGAAAATAGACTTTATTCTCCATAATAAAGCCGAGAAAGAGCAGAGCAGACCTCATAGCATTCTGAAGTCTCTCCTGGACAACTTCTGAAATATCTGTGTTTGTTACAATTTTTATACAGGATTATGTGACACACCCCTAAGTCTCTTTTTAACTCTTGACCATTTTTGAATAGGTTTTTAGTCTAAGGGGTCCTGCTATTCTTGGCTCTCAGCCCACTAGCTCATGTCAACAGAGATGTTACAGGTCTATGTCAGCAAAGTATAGATGCAACTTATGCAAAGGAACTAAGTGTTTACATACATTGTTATGATAGGATAATAACTTGATAATATGTTACTCATTCTAACTTCTGACACATATAGCTTCATACAAGTATTTAACATATATGATCAGTGCTTTACATATTCAGTTATTCTACACAATCAGTCATTCAGCCTTCTCCTAGTGTTGCTCCTGTGCAGGCATACTCATCTTACACAGACATATCACTGTATTTTTAACACAGGCTGGCATGTTTGCTGCAAGCACTACATACATTTTGTGAAGAGAAAATTAACTGCTTTACACTTAGAAAATACTTCACACTGAGAAAATAGAAATCTTCTTCAGTAACTGGGACCTAAGGACAGGTGTGATGTGCTCTAATTTCCTGGTTCTAGTCAGAATCCTGGCTGCAGCGTTCTGGATGAGCTGCAACTGTCTGACTCTCTCTTTTTGGGAACGCCAGTGAGGAGGCCATTACAGTAATCCACCATACTGCTGATAAAAGCATGAACAAGTCTTTACTGGAAACAAAGCATCTGATTCTTGCGATGTTTTTGAGATAATACTGCTTTGACATGACTATTGAAACTCAGATCTGACTCCAGAGTCACACCAAGATTTGTGACCTTATTTATTGTCGTGTGACCCTTAGTGCCAAGGTACGCATTCACCTTGAGAACCTCATCTCTGTTCCCAAACGCAATGACTTCAGTTTTCTCTTTGTTTAACTGAAGAAAGTTTTGGCACATCCAACTGTTAATTTCATCAAGGGTGTCAATGGCAGAGGGTGTCAATGGGGCTGTAGTCATTAGGCAGTAAGGCTAAGTAGATCTGAGTGTCATCAGCATAGCTGTGGTAGGAGATTTGGTTCTTTTTTATTATTTGGCTCAGAGGGAGCAAATAAAGGTTGAACAGGAGAGGTGCCAGAATCGAGCCTTATGGTATTCCACATGTCATGGGTGTCCACCTCGACCTATGGTCACCTATACTGACATGGTAACCTCTCCCTTCAAGCTAAGATCTGAACTATTTGAGGACCATCCCAGATAGCCCAACCCAGTTTTCCAGCCTATCCAGAAGTATGCTTTGATCGACAGCACCGAGATCGAGCAGTACCAGCACTGTTATTTTACCTAAATCTGTATTTAGGTGTATATCATTGATTATCTTTATAAGGGCGCTCTCTGTACTGTGATGTGCTCTGAAACCAGATTGAAAATTGTCTAAACATCCCCTGAAGTTTAAGAACTTGTTAACCTGGTTGAAATTTTTTTTAAAATGATTTTGCCAATGAAAGGGAGATTTGACATTGGCCTAACATTGGGATAACCTCAATAGGGTGTTATCCAGGTTGCTCTTTTCCAAGAGGGGTTTAACAACTGCAGTTTTAAGTGAGTTTGGAAAAATCCCTGAAAGAAGTGAAGCATTTACCACTTTTAGAAGATCCATTTCTAAACAGGTAAACCCTGTTTTAAAGAATGATGTGGGGAGTGTGTCAAGACTGCAGGTTTATGTTTTCATAACTTGCACGATCTCTTCTAAGATTTTATCATTAAACATATATATATATATATATATATATATATATATATATATATATATATATATATATATATATATATATATATACAGTTAAAGTCAGAATTATAAGCCCCCCCTAATAATTAGACTGCTTGTTTATTTTTTCCCCAATTTCTGTTTAACTGGGAGAAGATTTTTTAACTCATTTCTGAACATAATAGTTTTAATAACTCATTTTTAATAACTGATTTATTTTATCTTCGCCATGATGACAGTAATTAATATTTTACTAGATATTTTTCAAGACACTTCTATACAGCTTAGTGACATTTAAAGGTTTAACTAGATTAATTAGATTAACTAGGCAAGTTAGGGTAATAAGGCAAGTTATTGTATAACAGTAGATTGTTCTGTAGATTATCAAGAAAAAAATAGCTTAAAGGGGCTAATAATTTCTCCCTAAAAAGGCTTTTAAAAAATTAAAAACTGCTTTTATTCTAGCCGAAACAAAACAAATAAGACTTTTTCTTGAAGAAAAAATATTATTAGACATACTGTGAAAATTTCCTTGCTCTGTTAAACATCATTCGGAAAATATAAAAAAAAAGAAAAAAATTTGAAGGAGGCTAATAATTATATATATATATATATATATATATATATATATATATATATATATATATATATATATATATATATATATATATATATATATATATAATACTTGTAAACATTCAAACAAAAAGAATTTGGTCTAACAAAGTTTCACACAACAGTTAATGATGTTTTTGTGATGGGGCTTTGGGGGAAGCCAGCTTGCCAGCCAAAAAAATTACAGATCTGGAACCAAATCTTGAGAGTTTATAAAACTATTGGATTGTTTAAAAGATCAGGACATATAGTAGGTAAAGGAAGAAATAGTAAAGCAGAAACTCACTTACTGTACATGCATGTTAATGCCTTACAATAATTCATAAGTAGGTCACATGTCCACTCTTATTCATATCTTATTCATAATTAAAATAATCCTCATAAGAAACATTTACAGTAGACCATATGTCAAACAATATATATATATATATATATATATATATATATATATATATATATATATATATATATATATATATATATATATATAAACTAAACATATATATTTTAGTCACACAGCTTTAAATTGATAGACTCTTTTAAAATTCTTGTACTAATTCTTTTAGTGGTAAAGCATTTTTCCAGCTGAGACGCTTTGGTTGCTAATATGATTTAGAATGCATGGCATGGCTATATATTTCATTCTCTTTTCAACAACAGGTTTTTTATATATATATATAAGAGAGAGAGAGAGAGAGAAAGAGAGAGAGAGAGAGAGAGAGAGAGAGAGAGAGAGAGAGAGAGAGAGAGAGAGAGAGAGAGAGAGAGAGAGAGAGAGCTTAAATTTGTCACACATTGTTTCTATTAGAACTGAGGTTGTTTTTTGCTGATAAAACTTGCCTGAAAGTAAACCTGAAACTAATATGCTAACTTGTGACCATGGAAGTTCATCACTGCACAGTCCATTCAGTATTATTGGTGTTTGGATGATTGGCAAAAACATTCCACACCTATACTGTTTATAAACACACATCAGTATCTTACTCAAGACCAGCATGGTTAAGGATGTACATTTTGGTTCCTGCTGTTCACTAACTTATATTTTTCTTTTCTGTTTTTTTTCTTTGATGCACAGGATGGTGGTTAAACCGAGGATGATTTTCATTTGCATCCAGTCTTCTTCCAAGAAACAAATTCATCTTGTTATTGAAGTTAATATTAAAGTTTTTGTTTTCTTGCTTTTGTAGATTCTGCTAATAAAGAGAACTACTTAATGTTCCTTGGGTTGAGGGGTTAAAATTTCCTCCTTGAAGTTAAAATGTGATTTGTGCTATCTCAAATTAAGAAAGTACAGATATAAAGCTAGATTATAATGTAAGAATTTTGTCTTTTAACCTGTGCTATGTTTGCAACTAAAAAAAACTAAATAAAACATGTGACTTAAAGTTTTTCTGGAATTCCTCCCATAGCTGTCATGTATCATTATTTTACTTTATGACAATGAGCATATCTCTTATGAAATTTCTTTTGAAAAGGCTTGTTTCGAATTTGAATGGCTAAGACATGTTGACATAATAATCTTATAATTAAAATCTTAAATTTCAAAACATATGTTAATTGTGTTATTTTTTAATAATATTTAAATTGGTAACAGTTCATAATTACAGCAAATGAATCACTTAAGCATTAGCATATAGTGAATTCATTTGTTAAGCATTACCTCTATTTTAATAAACGTTAGTAAGTAGTTTATAACTGCTGTTACAAATGCTTACAAATTCTTGACTTAAAAGCACATTTATAATGTGCTTAATAATTGTACTTTTATCATTTGTGCGTGTTTGATTTATTTTTTTATGACTAAATTAAGTATTGCATTATTTACGAACCATTTATATTCAAAAGTATTTCATGGTTTTTAAGATCATTTAGGATGAGTACAGGTTGTCCGCGGGGTTGTAAAAGGCAGTAAAAGATAGTAAATGAAATTAGCCAAAATTAAGGCCATTAAAAAGTATTAAAAAGTAATAAACATCATCTGATGAGGTATTAAATTGAGTAAAGAGTGAAAAGTACCTATGACTGTATGTGTGTGATTATATGGTGAATGTTGATCTGTCAGCCCAGATCAATCGAGTTTTTTAGAAGGTGCCCTAATATTATTTATTGAATTAACATTTCCTACTGCAATGCTTTATTTTTATTTGATGCAAACCTTAAATTTATTTTTCATAAAGTAATAGACTTTTTATAGCAGATAACTCGCATTCAAGCACATTCAAGGCAGCTTCATAATGAGTAAATGTAATCCATTGTTAGTATCATTGTCATCATTAATATTTTAAAATTATTAGACATTTGTTTTGGAGTTTTATGCACAAATATTAATAAGTCATCTCAGAATTAGTTAGATAGTTGTTTCTGGTTTTTGTTAGTCCTGATTGATGTTGTTTTCAAATGCAATAAACCCCCTAATACCAATTTGCAATGGTGCTCATTCAATTTTGGTGGGTGCTCGTAAATATTTGAAGTCGGGAGCACTGGTGCTACCAAGTAAAAAAGTTAATTTCGAGCTCTGAAACATTAAATTTATCGGCACAACTGTGCCAAGAATTCCGGGCTGAGAAAGGGTTGTAATTGTGTATGTATGTATATGTATGTAACGCAAGGACACAAGAAAACAAGTCGGGTACTTCTTCAAATGGAACAGCAGTGTACTTTATAACGTCACTTACCTCACCATGGATTCATCAGTTTCACTGTACATTTACAATAAAATGATTTAATTAATATTATATTAATGTTAAAAATCTACATTTTTGATTTAAGAAAATCTATACATATAAATGTGAATTTAAATGTGTTATTATACACAGACACGTGTCTTTGATTATTAAATTTATTAAACCACAATGGTAATTATACACACAATAAGAAATAAAGATTACGTCAAACAATTCGGTAAACAGAGACAAACAGCGTCCAACATGGTAACATAATTAAAGACAATTATAAAAGGTAACAAAGTATCATTGCCAAAATAATACACTTGAAAACAAATAATAGATTTAAAAGACCAAAATCTGTCTGTTAGATATTCACAAGATGTAATAAATATCATTTTATAACTACAATGGAGAGATAAAATCCAGCGGTACATCCGAGATGGACTGGCCGAAGTAAAGCTGCTCTAGCCGGAGAGCTGATGACGGAGCTCCGCTTGGAGTCAGAGTCCGCATAAGCCGAGGCACATCGTCAAAGAAGCGCTATCTTTGTGAATAAACTGCCAATTCGAGTTTAAAACGACTACATTCTCACCTGAAAAACTGTTAAAACTTTATTTTGTGACACAGTAAAGGAGTATTTTTAAAACTGTGCAGGTTTCCTCCTCCCCCATTAGCACTGGCTGGTTACGATGCAATGCATTCTGGGATATATGAGCTTCGCAAGTTCACACAAGTCACCTCTCGATGCATCCTTGGCCAAAGGGGCAGAGCAAGTACACATCCGGGAATTTCATCTGTACTTGGAAAGATGCGAACTTTAGAATTGGAACAGTACTTTGGCGACGGTTGATGACGTTTCACGAGGACACAAGAACGCAAGTACAGACAATAACGCATATCAGAAACAGCCACTGTCCGCTTATGATTTGAATCCAATGCGGAAGAAAGTAGTTCCTCATACAAAAGGGTTTTTGAGTCTCTCCATGTTTGATTTTGTTTTTATATACACAATTATGCCGTCAAATTGTTGTATAAACGCAATATCACACTTGTAGCAGTGGGATATGGCTGTATATCGGCACTGGTGGAGGCACTAAGGATGCACTCCTCCCACCAGTGCCGATATACAGGCATATCGCACTGCTACTTGTGTGATATTGCTCATATATATGTGTGTGTGTGTATATATATATGTATATATATATGTATGTATATATATATATATATATATATATATATATATATATATATATATATATATATATATATATACATACAGTTGAATAATTAATATTAAAATTATTATCTCCGGGAAACATCCATGGGGACCATTTGGCCTACCCAATTCACCTGTACCGCATGTCTTTGGAATGTAGGGGAAACTGGAGCACCCAGAGGAAACCAATGCGAATGCGAGGAGAACATGCAAACTCCCCACAAAAATGCCAACTGACCCAGTCAAGGCTCGAACCAGCAACCTTTTTGCTGTGAGGCGACAGCACTACCTAACAGCACAACCTAACACATTGTCAATAATAAAACATTCTCTAGAAGAAAAAATAATAATACTAATAATTCTGACTTCAACTATATATTTCAAAATTATTTCATTTCCATGTCATACCAAGCTCACATAAAATACAACTGGCACTAGGCCTACATGACTTTAATAAGAACCGTTCTTCCAAGTATGGAAAAGCAACTTTGTCTCAATTCTTTATTTTCGTTTGGATCTGTTTACTTTCTTAACTTTTTGTTTACACACCTTGTATAAAATGTTTGCAATGCAGATTGTGCTAGTCCGGACATATTGTCTGAACTTAACTAAAAAAATGCATTTGAAGCTAAATTTTCTAGTTCTAGATTCTCTCTGGTTGGACTATCATTTTGGGATAGTTGACATGCAGTATTCAAACAGAAGTGAAGCAGCTTAGATTTTAAGATATCTTCTAGAAAACCTAGAGGAAATAAAAAGGTGATAAAAATGTACTTATTTATGAAAATACATTTTAATAATGGCCTTACTGAAAGAATTATTTCTGTTTTAAACTTGTTTATTCATTTTGTTTAAAAGTAAAAGAAAATGAAAAGGAACGATTTTGTTTGAAAGGATATCTGTAAAAAAAGGCATCACAATAAACAAAAATGATCTATAAAAGTTTCTTTATAGGGATTTAAAATAGATTAAATAAATTAAGCATTAACACAGTGATTTTAGTTTTAAATTAAGTGAAATACTTCCATATTATTAACGGTTACATTACATTTTAGTTAAATCCAAATATTATTGACCGTATTGGTCTTAAATAAATTATCTGTATACTTTGTGTTATGTTTTTGTCATAGAAAAATGAATGATTGATATTACAATTTTTTTTTTCAAAATGTAAGCTTTGGACTAGATCATGAATATAATTTTAGTAGAAAAATCTGGAGTAAATTAATAATCCGAGTTACTGTGTAGCATTATTTTCATGTTTGGATTTATTTCTAGGACATCCAGTCCACCCATGTCCATGCAAAAGCAATTTACATGCACATAGTTTTCCAAAACACCAGAATATATTTTTCTGTTTTTGTGATTTCAGATTTTACACATTATTATTTTTATAAAGCATTAAATAGTCTTATTCTGCACTAAAGATTCTCAGAGCAAGTGTCTTTTGTTGCCTAGCAACAGCAGCCCTTGTAGGGAACAACCCTGTGATGCTGTCTGAGTTTGTAAAGGTAATTCATTGGGTAATCTGATTATAAAATTGTGTACGGGACCTGGACTTAACATAAATATTGCTGGTGGGCTAGAACTCCAGATTTAAGTTGAATGCATGTCAAATCAAAATACAGAAATATGATGCCATTGAGAAGACACGGTGGTGCAGTAAATAGTGCTGTCGCCTCACAGCTAGAAGGTTGCTGGATCGAGTCTTGGCTGGATCAGTTGGCATTTCTGTGTGAAGTTTGCATGTTCTCCCTGGGTTCATGTGGGTTGCCTCCGGGTGCTCCGGTTTCCCCCACAGTCCAAAGACATGTGCTTTAGGTGAATTGAATAAACTGAATGGCTGTAGTGTATGTGTCACTTTAATTTCAAGCAGAAATACATCACATGGATTTCATATCCTTTGGAGGTTTCAGAAAGTCTCTGAAGCTGATCATTTGTTTGCTCTTGGTGTTTTTCCATCTGTTTTAGCATGATCAAAGGGATATACAAGGCACATAGTGTCTTCAGAGGACACTCTGTATGATGTTTTGTATCGACATGGTTTACCTCTATCAAAGGACATAAAAAATGGCCCTCAGCTGTTTTCCCTCTAACTGTATATTTCCACATTTTGCTGCCATACTGAAGCTTTGCTTTTTAAAACAATTCCACACTGCCTTCAGCTTATCACCTTCTCTTTTAAGCCTCGCTCTTTCCCAGTGCTTATTAAACTTTCATGTTTGATTTTTTACTCTGATAGCATATGCATATTGTATGCGAGGTGGGTGGAAGCAGGTTACACAGTGAGACTTGACCAGCTATCCTGCTCTATTGCTTGTTTTGTTTTGTCACAATTGCTTTATATTAGTTTTATAGGATGACATGCACATTTGGCTGTTGTGCTTTTCAGGGCTAATTTGTTAAAGTTCAAATGTTAATGTGGGCATGTTAAGACAGACCCAATTTTTAGCTGTTTGACGTTACCATAGTTACTTCTTAGATCTTGTGTTACAAGTTTAAGATG